CCAGAAATGTTCTGATTAACTTTCAGCACCAGCAGTCAATCTTGTTCCAAGTCCCTGACGTTTGAGCAAAACGAGGCTGCTCACCCAAAATTGGCATCAGTCTGTACATCTGGTCATTCATCCTTCAAGGCATGTGTAATTTCCAGAAAACTGCAAGGCTCTGCCCACTGGGAGAACTGCCCTCCCTCCACCCTTTGCTTGTATAACATTGTGAATCTACTTAATATCACTAAACTGGACCCTTAAAATGCGTAAAGGGCAAATTTTATGTTATTTTTTAAAATCATAAAGCAAGAAAAGCAAAATAAATTTAGGACAAAAGCATAGCAAATTGTGGTGGGCCATGCCCATAATCTATTGTATTTCTAGTTCAGGCTTGCTAGGGTTCCATACCATGACTCCTATTGTCTCATATACCTGAGTATATGTGAGTCTGTTCAGGTCAAAATTCCATTGTGCTAGATATGTATCCACTACAACCTTAGCAAGCCTTAAAGCCTTTTATTGCCCTGGGCCCGGTGTAAAGCCTAGAGCTCCGCTGAATAGATTAGTAATAGATTACCTGAGAGAGTGCTAAGAGCATAATATGAAGCAACTTGCCTTTCCTATGAAGAAACTTTTCCCACGTAACCTGCCGCAGACCCCTCGAAAATTGTTTGTGATGTCAGGAATCCAGCTGATTCTGGAACTTAGCCTTCGTTCTGAGGTTCATGTGTGCCTACTTGGGCCTCTCCTGCTTTCTGCTCACTAGATACAATGAGAAAAATAGATTATTATTGTTATCAATGTAGTAGACCTTGGGATCCTTGATATAGTGCACTGATCAAGGTCCTGTGGATAAGTTGTGGCAGAGAGGCAAAAAAAATTTACACTTATGGATGGAAATAAACCGGCTTTGATGACAAACTTGAGTCACTCTAGAAGAACTCCATCTGGTGGGGATGTTACTATGAAGTTGAAGCAAACCTTTGATAGAGAACTATAGACATAAACACGTAGAGATAAGTAAATGCAGGCTACAGAAAGGGGCTGGTTGATAATTGATAGGAATCTTTATTGAGTCCAGTAACTGATTTGGCTGAGTTCGTTAAGAGACAGCAGAAGATGTATCTGGGACTTACACAACAGAATGAGGAAATGGTCCAGACAGCAAACCACTTAAAGGTTTTAAGCTGCAGAGTAATAATGATGAGAGTTGCATTTTATGAAGATTAATCTGGCAGCAGAAAGCAATGTCCCAGCCAGGAAGAGACGATGAGGATCTGAAGTTGAGTAACAGAGACAGTGAAAAAGGAAAAGGATGCAAGGAAGAAATGTCTTGATGTGGAGCCAGTAAGAGACAAAGCCAAGAACATCTCCAAGCCCGCTGCACTTTTAAAATAAACAAGATGTACAACACAGTCAGGAGGCGTTGGGTGGATGTATTAGCTAGGTTTTCACACTGCTTTGACAGACGACCTGCTATTAAACAAGCAGGAGGGAGGAATACTCTGGAACACGGTTTTGGAGGTTTGCACACAAGGTTCTTTAGCTCCGTGTGCTTCGGTAGAACATCATGTCAGAAGTGTGTTGAGGAACATGTGATCTCAAGGTTGTCTGGAAGCAGTGATAGAAAGAGTCTAAGGGCCATGTATGACCTTCAAAGTCATGCTCTCCAGTGAGCCACTTCCTCCAGCTAGACCCCAGCATCCCCCCAGATAGCTATTGGGACCACATATTCAACCCAGCTGAGTTAAATATTTGCTATTCAAACATATACTATATAACTAATACTAAGATAAATAAAATGTATAATTTGTAACATTATGTAGATCTAATAAAAACTAATACTGTTAGTTCTTGAAGGCAGGCACTGAAGGTCCTCGTGCGAATGTAGCAAACACTTTGCCACCTGACAATTGGAGGGCCCACACTGAGGAGGCGAATGGAACTGTAATACTTAAGAAGAGAATTCAGGATTGGAAACACCAAGATGGGAACTGCATGTATTCAAATAGTGCTTGAAGGGAAGGGAGGGAAAAGGAATAAGCACTGTAAGTGGCCTAAGGACACAGACTTGGCTTGATCCCCAAGTCTTCCTGGAGAGAGAACAAAATGAAGGAGACTATTTAAACACCCCTGCCTGCTCACAGAGCTAAGTGCTCTTTTTGGCTGCCCCGATGTTTCTTTTCTGGCTTCTGGAAAAAGGGCAGAGCTGTCTACAATGCACTTAGTGTTCTTTCTCTACATTCTTGATACAGGGCAAAGCCAAAGAAGACATGGTATTTCATACTATCAACTTTATTTAAACCCTGCTGGGGGATATCTATTTTTTCCTACAAGGCAAAACCCCACATGCATCTCTGATCTTCTCATATAGGTGCCTCATAGCATTTTCTATCAGTGCCTGGGCTTGTCTGGAGATGCGTACACTCTTTTACTTGTAGCATGGGGCAGTAGGGTTTAATAATCCTGACTAGGGTTTTGCCGAATGTGCAATCATTAGCCACACTAGCCCCCAGGGAAACACTTTTTTAGGGTCATTGCCAGATCAGAAATTTGAGTTGTCTTGGGAGAAATCAAAGTGTTCCAGAAAGACTTGTAAGCGTTTGGCACATTTCCAAATCTCTTCAGGCCACTGAAGATCCCAGAGTATTGGAAAAGTCCCCGGTTTTTATGTAAAAATTTCTCTAGCAACATCGAACTTTAAGAACTTAGTATCTGATCCTAACTCTATCCACTGGGTTTTATCTAATAGCAAAAATGTTCAAGGTACAGTGGGGAGTTTCCTTAGGCATTTCCACACACTTTGTGAACATCTTAGTTGGTTTAACTTCATTTGCTTGGTGTTAGCTGCATCACATTTATAACAGTATTCTCATCTACATCATTAATCAATCTCTTGCCATCTGCTGTAATAATCTTGAGTATGAATTGCTTAAATAATGACACTGTCTCCCTTCAATAAATGATTATTCAGCTTTATCACCTACCTAGGATGAATTTAGGCATTCCATGAATATAGACGTATTAAAATTAGGTGTTTCAATAACAAATATTGTTCCCTTACCTTACCATTCTAGGATCCCTTCTACAAAACAAAACCTTCAGTCTCTTCCATTCTACTGGCTGGTATGTAGTGAAAGTAGTGAACCTGAGGGATATATGGTAGCATCTTAAGTACTAAAGACTTCATGTATTACTAAGGGCTAAACACCTCATTGAATAACCTCTATAATGATCGAGCCAGAGGACAAGTTGAAAAATACTCCTTAGGGAGTTTTAGATGGAGCCCAATTGCTTTTAGTGGAAACTTCTTTCCTTATTACTATAATATGTCCATCATATTTTGTTAACTTATGATTATCTTAAGTATTGGCATATAATCAAACGATTGATTTAACTTAGTGCTTATTTTACAAGGGTGTTTTTTATAAGTTCAATGATTTTTAAATGATAAATATTTTAAATTAATCTTGAATTGTTCAGACTTGCATCTCTTCACATATGGATTGATATTTTCAAATTTATACTATAATGTTCATAGGCAAGAATTGCTGATCCAGTAGATTCTTGATTAGCCTACCAGAAAAGAGAACCTGAAAGCGCATCGTTCCAGAACTGTCATCTGATTCAGAAATCCAGCCGCCCCCCTCTGTCACCCCAAACAGATATAAGCTCCTTACATCATAAGATTTAATTTGGAGATGAGGTCATCTAGGATGGAGATGGTGCTCTCCTTCTGTAAATGAGGAGAGTGGGGCCAGTTGGAGTAGAGACCAGAGTGCTACCGACTACTCTTGGTGCTCTTTACTAAAGAGGAAATTACACTTTGGGTCATTCTTGTCTTTTACAAGTGATGGTTTATAGTGCTTGTTCCTATGAAGTTTCCATGGCGGTAAGAGGATGGCCTAAACTATGTGAAGAGTGTGTGACAATTTTAAAACAAATTCGACATTATTGAATAAACATTTGGAAGACTGCAAGATGCCTACCAGACATTGAACAGGAGATACAATCAATCAATCAACCAACCAATCAATCAATCAATCAAAGAGTATGTGTGGCCAAAGAATTTACAACTGTCATAAATAAGGACCAGAAAAACAACAAAACAAATACTACTCCCAAGAATTGTTCTAAGAAATTTCAGTATGTCAGAGGCTGTCCACTTGGAGCTGAGTTCTTTAGTCTCTGGCTTTCCCCAGTGGCTTAAAGGAACCTTATAATGCATGATTGTGTCTCTAGTTTCTATTTAGTTAAAGCCAGGTAAAGATGGCCAGTGTGTACTTAGCACAGGGCCAAGTATTTTCACATCTCTATCAAGAGTCCCAACAGTGAAGTTGCATGGTGGTGTGAGATGTCTGACTTAACAGCGTTGGTATTAATCTCACTTACATTCTAAATTCTCAGCTGGCTGAGCCTGGGCCAAAATACAGCCAGAGCCCACTAGACTATGAGTACTGCATCGGGAGCATTTGCAGTCTGTTTTTCTCCTACCGGACTCTGAAATCCCACCTATCCTGGGATGCTCTGGAAGGCAGCCAATGAGGGTATAAAGATACACAAATTCGCATCTCTCCAAGAAGACACACCCAACACAAAGCCCTCTTTGTGCCTTAGGAAACAGTAGTGCCACAGTAGTACTGTATTACGATGGCTGACCGTCTTTGATTTTTTTTTTTTTTTAATATGGGGATGTCTTCATCTACATCTCTCTTGCTGGTTCCAAGCTGCTGGACTCAAACGATTCTCCTGCCTTAGCCTCCTGAATGGCTGGGACTTCAGGAAAGCGCTACCACCGCCCACTTGAAGATGCTTATCTTGGAAAAACATCTAGCAGCTAGAGCAGTGAGATCCTTAGCAAGGGGGAAGCTGAGAAGGAGGGCAAAGTCCAAGGGTGAGGACCCCCCGCAGGTGCGAGCAGGCGCAGAGTGGCGCTCCGGGGCCGCGCACGCGCCCAGGGGCGTGCGCACATCCCGTGCACCTGGAGGCGGAGCCAGGCCCACGGCCCGCCCACGCCCGCTCCCGCCGAAGCCCCCTCCCCTCCCTTCCCATCGCGCTGCACGCGCGCGCAGGTGCGTGAGGCCGCGCCCGCCCGGGGACCCTGCAGACGCGGGCCCGCCATGGAGCACATCCGCACGCCCAAGGTTGGTGGCCTGGGCGGAGGAGGGAGAGAAGGAGGGATGCTCAGCTCACTGGGTTGCCCTGCGGGGAGCTGGACCGCGAGCGAGGAAGGAGCTGGAGGCTCCCTAGCATCTTCCTGAGCTCTGGGAGATTGGTCTTTCTCTTGCTGGCTCCCAGGCCTAGCAGGAGCTAACCCCTCTTGTCCTTGGGGGGCGGGGTGGGTGTGAGAGGTGGGGAGAGGAGGGGGGCTTCTCAGTGGACACAGGGGTGGGCAGGAGGGAATGAACCCTAATTGTCGAGTAACAAGGTTTTTCTACTTGCTTGGTTGTAGGCTTCTAAAAATCTCATTTTTAAAAAGGTGCTGGTAGCTCTGAGCAGTTGAAAGGGAAGCAAGCCCTTGGATAGCAGGTGCAAAGAAAGCAGTGCATTATAAACAGATGGCCTGAATGAACTTGGAAGCGTGTTGAAGCTCAGGCCTCATACACGATGCATCCTTTCCCATTCCTGCTAGGGACCTTCTCTGAGCTTAGGATCCATACTTGCCATAACTGAACGATGGCATAGTCTTTTCTTTCCACTTTGTTTGGTTCTTAGGGAAGAAAGATGCTGCCTATAGATTCGCCCGTGGGGTGTGTGTTAAAAAAAAAACACCAGTGTTTGCCACTGAACAAAAATGACTGGTTCCCGATTATCCAGTTAAATAAGTCTGGAAGCCTTGGCCACTGTACCAAACGTTGCCACTCTTTGTTGTAATATAATTTAGAATGAAAATAATGATAGAAATTCCTATCGTTTTAAAACCCCATGGGAAGGAATACTTCTGTCTGCTATTGCCACCTTACAGTCCTTTCAGAAACGTCGATATATTTAAAATCCAGGTCCCTGATAGACTTACACCAAAGCTATATTTGAGTGAACAGAACTCATGTGGTCCCAAGGGGTATTATTATTTCATGGGCAGGTAAATGTAATTTCTTTGTTCTCTACCCAGCAGGAAGAATTTATCTCTACATTCTGAAATGGTGGCGGGTACCTCTTAGTAAAAACCTCTTTAATATTATGTTTATGGAAGAGTCAGTCTTCTGGCTCATTGGAGAATGTCAGCTCCACCGGCAGATGTAAATTGTATTGATGTTGCGCTGAGGAATTAAATTGTTGCTTTACAATCAGGGAATTGTAAACTTAGAGGACAGTGCCATAAACCACAAGATAGGTGGCTCAGGGCTTTCAGGGCTTAAGTGGTACTAAATAATTGATTCCAGAATGATGAGTTTAACCCCTGAATTTCCTTTGTTTCTCACCAAGGGCGTTTCTCTTTCATGCTGAAGAGGCCCTTTACACAGGTGGTGTCTTGTGTGGATATCAACAGCCCAACCCAAAACAGAGAACTTAGAACAGTATGAGATCAGACAAACAAGACTCAACAGCCTGATACTCGACCGTGAACACTGTAGATGACAAAGTCATAGACAGTAACATCCAAAGGTTAAGTGTGTTGACTCGGAAGATGGCTCAGCGAGTAAAGTGTGTGTTGGCACAAGCGTAGGGATCTGAGTTTGGATCCCCAACACCCATGTAACAGCCGGGTGTGTGTTGGCAAATGGATTGCTACAGCACACCAGCCAGCCAGTCTAGCCAAAATAGCAAGCTCCAAGTTCAACAAGAGAAACCCTGCCTCAAAAAATAAGATGGAGAGTGGTAGAAAAGCCGTGGGCATGCTGTGTCTCTAGCCTCTAGGGGTGCATACACCAGACACATGAAGTTTAGATATTAAAGGTTGCATATGCATGAAGGAAAAGGGCATAGCTACTTTAAAAGCATACATGAAATGTGTAGTTGTTAACAGTCATTTTCATACTTACACCCCATGCTTCTGTTACATTCTCTGGGAACTGAATGGGGAGTTTCCCCATGATTTTATAGTCTTATGTCTTTTGTTTGTACATGCAAAATTTGCTTAGCCAACTCACTTTTTTAAATGCAGTATTTGCCAGGATGGAAATGGGTTTGTTTTGAGGAAAATGAATGCATGCTTGCATGATTGTGTAGTTGCTTTCCCATGGACAATGTAAATTATTGATTTCTTCAATGAAAACTAATACCTGTCCTAGCCTGTGCTCTGGAGTTGTTACAATAACTCTTCCTACAAGCCTGGTCCCAAGGCCGCATCAGGTCCAAATGAACACGCAGGACGCTATATTAATTATGAAGCCATGGGCCGTTTGTTATGGTTTCTTGTTGGCTAGCTCTGACTTAATTATTAACCCATAACTGCTAATCTGAGTATTTCCACGTGGTCTTCTCTTACCGGAGAAAGGGTCCAGACCTCTTACTCCTCTCATGTCCTACATGGTGACTGACTGTGCCTCCATTTCCCAGAATCCTCCACCTCTCCTAGTCCCATCTATCTTGTTTCCCTATTGGCCAATAGCGCTTTATTTATCAACCAAAAAGACAAACATATACACAGAAGGACTTCTCCCATCACTGGAGTGCAGGTTAAGAAGATACATACGAATAATTAGGAGTGCCTTGAACACATTTCTTTCTCTGCGTGTGCCTGTGTGTACACTTTATTAAAGCTTTTAACATAGGCTAAACAGGATGCGTTTCTACCAGAATGGTCCCCTGCAGGGGGGTGGGGAGTACCAAGAGCAAGCTGCTTTGCAGTTGGGCGGAAATAAGGCTTTTCCCGAAGTGGAAATTGGGGTCTCTGCTCTGCTGTTGGACTTTGACCACTGAGAAAACATGCCAGTGCTGTTGGAAAGTTAACAATTATTTGAGCTCACATATTACTTATATAAAACGACTTCTGAGTCGCTAGAAACAACTTGAAGTGTTGCTAGAATTTCCTTTGGTTGCCTGAGGTCCGGCTGAGTAATCTCCCGAAAACCCTTTCCCCCAGATTTGTGAGTTTGAGTTATTAATGGAATATGATATCATCTGTGGTACAGACGATGTCATACTTCCTCTCTCTCCTGACTCCCACTCCTTAGGTCTGAGCCCTTACTACAGTCTCCTCATTTTCTGTTTTCTTCTTTTCTGGGTAATTCTGTTATGACAGGGTATGGCCACACTTAAATTGTACTAATTTTCTTACAGCAGCAACCAGATACCTGGCAGAAAGCAACTTGCGGTGGGAAGGCTTACTCTGCCTGGCTCACAGTTTGAGGCTTTGCAGTCCAAGGCCATGGTGGAGGAATGGCTTGGTCCTTGGTGCTCACAATGCTGAGTTCTTTTCCCTGTTTATCTAGTCTGGGGACTGTGCTTCCCACATTCATGTGCCTCATTAATACCCCAGGTTTTTTCTTTGTTTGTCTTGTAAATCCAGTCAATCTGGCAGTTGTAATCGACCATCTTCTCCGCCACAGTGGTCTTGTTGATTTTTTGTTGTTTTTTGTTTTGATTTGTGATTTATTTTATCTCTGAACCTAGACATGAAACGAGAATCCCCAAAAGGTTTTAGGGCTTCATGTGATTGACTTGTCCTAACTACCCAGCTTTATTTAGTGACCATTTCCTGATCAGGGCAATGCCCTTTGAAGGTTCAAGTGTGACAGGTTGTTTTGTACCTCAGGACTTGTCTGTCATTCCATCGCAGGAGGAATCGCAGATGGCACACACTGATCTTCTCTTTATCAGGCTAAATTTCTCATAGTTGTAGTTTCAAATTAAATGTACTCCCAGGGGCTGGAGAGATGGCTTAGTGGTTATCAGCACTTGTTCCTCTTGCAGAGGACCCAGGTTCAATTCCCAGCACCCACGTGGTAATTCACTACCATCTGTAACTCCAATTCCAGAGGCATCCAATGCCCTCTTCTGACCTCCACAAGTACCAAGCACTCATGTGGTACACATACACAAACACAGACAAAGCACACATAAAATAAATAAATCTAATAAATGTAATCTCAGAGGGGCTGTTGCATGTGCCCTTCATCTAAATTAGACTTGCCTGTTGTATTTTTTTTTGGGGTCGAACCATTTTGTTCTTTTATGTTCCTCACTTTGATTATTCTATTCATTTGGGTGATATTTGTTGAATGTTGGGGCTTCCCTATCTGGGAGTTCCAGAAGAATACTTGAAATAAATAATACTTGAAAAAAGGAACAGTATTCTTTATTTCGGTACTTGGTTTCTTGCAGTAGGCATGAATAATCTAGGTTTCATATGCCTTATACCTATAACTTGATTGTACTGTGAGTCCTCTTACTATGCATGTGTATATATACAGTATATGTCTATATACTGCAGTAATGATTGCATTTATATTTAAAGTGATAAGATAGATGTACATAATAGAAGACCCTTATATCAAATATGCAACCCGGTGATCTCTGTACATGTGCAGTGTTGTGCACTCATCATCACTATCCAGTTCCAGAACTTTCATCACACCCAAAGAAATCATTGGTTAGCCTTGGCTTGCAGTGTCTTAAACTTCCGTGAGTCAGGCCTTGTTGCTGTTATTGTTTGCTTATCTCCCATTGAATTGCTCAGTCTTGTCTTGAATCCTTGTACCCATCCTCTCAGTTTGGTACCAGGCTCTGTATAGGATAGTTTTGTTGCCTTGTTCCTCATCTTATCCAAGAGAAAGTGTACATTCTTGGCAGCTGGTGCCATTTGCCCCACTTCTTAAGGCTTTGACCTTGGTAACTTTAGTAGGTCTCTTAGCCCATCCTCCATCACTCCTCCAAACAGTTCGTCAGGGAAAGAAAGGAAACACGGCCTTTTGAAACGATGACTGAGTGAATCTTGATGTTCCTGATGGCTGATGGTTTCCTTTTTTAGGTTGATGCAAAGATCCATTAAGTGACTAATTTTAGAATCTTATCTAGAGTTAATGTCACACTGACCAATTTGACTGTATCTTCCATTTGGGAATACTAATCTCATTTGTGAGTTCTCTCTTTGACAGTGAGACTTGAGATTTTCTTTCTCTCTGCCTGTCTTCATCATACCACTGGGACTAGGGCTTTTTCTTTTGTTTAGTAAATAATTTGCAGATGATAAAAATATTAG